AGGCAGCTGTGATGGTGATGCCTTCAGGACATCTGCTGGACAGTGCTGCTCTCTAATGAGACTTTTCTTGCATTTGCATTTTGGCTTTGGCTTCACACTCCAGCCAGACATGGTTCTATTTTCTGAGAGTCATAGCTGAGGTGGCATCCATGACTCCCCCTTCCTCAACAGAATCTTCTCTCTCTCCATAATTTTTCTCAGAGGTCCACTTTAACCTCAATCCCAAAGTAGGTCTAGTTCAGTCAGTGCCTGATATCCCCCAGGTGGCTAGAATTCAAGAGGGACCAGTCAGATTATGAAGGGGCTTTCTATTCCACATTGGAAAAAGTAATTTTCTCTTCCATTTGCTCTATGTGAACAAGAAGGAAGGCCACCTGATTGCCACTTGTGACCAGGGGGCTTTTCTTCTCTAGTTGATGCAGATACTGTGGACAGCAGAGTGGAGAGGTGGAAAGATTCAAGGTCTGTGGCATCATGTGCTGCAGAATCAGCCAACCTTGAGCTTCCCTACCTGGATGTACTTCCTTTATGAAAGAAAAGAGATGTCCTTTTGTATTCATGTCAGTTAAAGTGGAGTCTTTTTAATTTATAAGGCAATTTAAAGCCATCAAATATTTAACAGTTCATTAAAAATAATAAAGTTTATTAATAAATGTAATAAACACCAATATATTATAAACAAAATTAATTACTAACAAAAATTAGTAATTAATTAAAATGATGTTTATTAACATCAACAACATATTTTTTATGAAAGATAACTAGTTTTCTAAAAAAAAGAAAAATCAGAAGGGTGTCTTTGACTTTTTTATTTTTCCTGTGAAGTACCTTTAACATCTGGCTTAATAGAAAATAACTTGATCCTCATATTTGCTTTTGCATTCAATCTGTTGTGATTTTGAAACCAGAGTAAAAAGAAAATTCAGTCTTCCCCAGATACATAGTCAAAAAAGGAAGGAATTTTTTTTTCTTTTTGTCCTGGGGATCAAACCCAGGGACACTTACCACTGAGATACATTCCCAGCCTTTTTATTTTATTTTATTTTTAAAATTTGAGTTATGATCTTGCTAAGTTGCTAAGGCTGGCTTCAAGCTTGTGATTCTCCTAGCTCAGCTTTTCAAGCCTCTAGGACTACAGAAGTGTGCCACTGTGCCCAGCTAAGGGAGGAAAAGTTTAATAGCCTTTTACCTAGGTGTGGTCCTTCTTCTTTGTGACTATACCAAAACTCCAAATTGGTAGTTTCTTAAAGATGAGTTCCCATGTGAAAAATTTAACCATAGCAATAAGTGTTTTATACCTGGTTTCATCAACATTCTTTGTCTGTCTTGCACTTGGTTGGATTTTCATTTGTGAATAATTTTATAACTTTGTGCATTGGCCATTTGGAAAAATATGTTTGCTGATTTATGCAGATCTTCCAAATTTTGACATATTTCGTTATAAAATATAAAAACTCCATACTTTTAAAATAGCACCGCCAAACTCATCAGAAAAGTTTTGAAGTATTGGGAAACTGTCAAGCTCATGATAGAAAGCATCCTAATTGACAAGTTTTCTGCAAATTCTAGTTTTTGCTTGAAGGTTTGAATTTGATCATTGGCTGCAATACTGTCAATTGGTATCCTTGAAGTGACAGGCTCGTTTTGTTCATTTTTTGAGAAAATGCCTGCCAAAATTGGGTCTGAAGTTGGTCGGCTACTCTTTTGATTAAAAACGCTGTTCTGTGAAAAATGTGGCCAGTTAAGTTTGCAGCTCTACGAATTCCTTACTTGATTTTTCTTGAGCCAAACACTAGAATTCAGTGTGCAACAGAAGTTGCACTTTTCATCACAAATGATATCAAAATGTTCTGTTCTCAAGGGTCAAAATCTAATAATTGTACAGGCACCTCAAGGGAATTATAAAGCAAAATTGGCTTTTTTCCCCCCAATAGAGCATGGTTGTAAAGAATACAATTGGTAGGAATAAGTGTGGCTTACTTTGATTCATGCTGTCACTATCAGTTTTCCTCACCATTGCTTTTGCAGCATCAATGCCAAGATCAACACAGGGAAAAAGGCAAAGTACATCTTAGCATCATTATGGGATTAGTTTTAGCTTTGAAGTTTCCAAAGACTACACTTTGAGAGCTTCTACTTTAGTTTATAGTACTTTTAGAAACAAACTAACATGCATCCAACCTATTCTCTTTTCTTGAAATCAAATCAATTTTCCATTGTCAGTTACCAACATTCTAAGTTTAAAAGGTCATAATTCATGATTCTTTGAATCAAAATATTTAAGCAACTCTCATATAGGGCAATTCATAAATATGCAACGATTAGGAAGAATTAAAGATTCTAAAGTTTGACCTTACTAAAAAGTCTAACACTTATGCTTTCTGTATTCTTGGTGTGGTCAATGTTAAATAATCAAACAAGTATACATCAGCCAAAGAATTATGGCAAGAAGGAAAAGAACACTGATTATTTTCTTCCTTCTTCTGGATGCTCTCAGTGACCTTATTGTCCTAGGTTTTATTATGTTTATTTTATTTTGCAGTACTTGGAATTAAACCAAGGAGTGCTTTATCATGAAGCTACACCACATACCTTTTTATTTTTTGAGAGAGGATCTTGCTAAGTTGCTGAGGTTGGCCTTGAATTTGGGATCTCCTACCTTACCCTTCCTGAGTTCCTGGGATTACAGACATGTACCACGACGCCTACTATTTTAGATTTTAAAAATTCGCATTCATTTGAGGCCAGCCTTGGCAATTTAATGAGACCCCCAGCAACTTAGTGAGACCCTATCTCTAAATTAAAAAGAGAGAGAAAAAAATGATGGTAATCATTCTAGTGGAAGAATACCCTGGGTTCAATCCCCATTCCATCTCTCCCACCCCAAAAATTGGTATTTAGTGGTTAAGTTCTTGGCAGAGGCCACTCAGTGGTCAAACGTCTCATCCTAGCTGACAGGTGCCAAAACAGAGAATTATTTGCTCTACCACACAGGATTTTTTTTTTTTCTAGCACTGGGCATCATACCCAGGCCATTATGCATGGTAGGCAAGTGCTCTACCACTGAGACACATCCCCAGCCCCAGGAATTTCTGGTAAGTACAAAAATACAAGGCTGTGGCATCTGAGGAATGTCATAGAGAGTGGGGCTGCAAAGTCATGGACACCAAAGGCAGTTCTTTAAGGAATTTCCTTTATATATTCTATCATGAAATGATAATTTTGACTCTTGAGTAATGCAAAAATTTTAAACTACCACAAAGTATATTTGAGAGTTGGAAGAGACCTTAATCATGTGGTCTATCCATATGCCTCACTACTGGAGTGTGCTTGCATATTCAATAAGCATTTCCAATAGTAGTTCCTGGATGATGACTTCTGAAAAACTGATTGTTGTTCATCCCTTCCCCCAAATAAAAATGTATTGCATTGTATGTGGCAGGCAGTTTTTCAGATGGCTCCAATGATCCCTACATCCTTATATTCACACCATTGGGTAACCCTCTTGAGTGGATAAACCTGTGACCAGCATCTGATCAAGAGAAGAGGGCAAAGGTGTGGGAACGTTGCTTCTCTTGACTGACTAGATTTCATAAAATCGTGACTTTTGAATTGTTAGCAGACTCTCTCCATTTCCAGCTTGGCTTGAACACTTGAATGATGCAAGTTGTTGTGTTGGAAAAGCCCACGTATTAAGGGGCTAAGGGCAGCCTGTGGCCCACAGCCTGTGGGATCTAGGTTCCAGTAAACAGTCTGGGAGGAACTGAATCTGGCCAGCAAAAGCTGATTGAGCTTGGAAGCAGATCCTTCCCCAGTTGAGCCTTCAGAGGAGACTTTGTCTGGGCTGACACCTTGATTGTAGCTTTGTGAAATCTCTGCAAGAAATCTGTGCTCATCTTCCTGTTCCACAGACTGAGATAATAAATGTGTGTTGTTTTAAGCACCTAAGTGTTGGGGTAATTTATTTTGATAATTTGTTATGGAGCAATAGACAATGCATACACTATTATACTCATAACTCACTTTCTTTAGCCAGACCAGAAATTATCTTTTTAAGGTCAATGGATCCTTGCTATGTGTGTTTAGCTGTCAACCACTGGAAAGCTTCCTCTAGGATCCACCCTTAGAATGAAAGGGGCACCACTGTTCCACTCTGAGCCTTCCCTTAATCCTCACCCTCAGGCCTTCTTCTAGAGCCTCCATAATTAGCTTTCTCCACCTGAGTATCATTTAGTTTACATACCAGAGGCAGCAGGCCATTGATTTCTTGAAGTCTGCAATTTACATCAGTCTGGCAAGGAGGTGTTAATTGTCCTAAATGCTGTTCCATAACAAAGGGGCAAAAGCAAAAATTCACATCCCAATCCAGTTCATAAGCAGATGTACAAAAATGCCCGACAAAAAAATGTAGGGAAGAAATACTTTTTGAGAAAATAAAGGAAATTGGGGGAGATGTTGAAATACACTGCATAGAGCATCAGACAGACAGCCCACTTCACTATGGGGGCTTCAGAGTGATGCGTAAAAAGAGGGTTTACCTCCAGGTCTCACAGTCTTTGGTTCTTAGTCTGAAATAATCCGGGTTGCTGTAAGCTGGCTCTCAAGTGCTGAAATGGACTATCAAATGAAGATAACAGAATACCTGTTTCTAAAGGGAGTTGCGGGAATTAAATGAAATAAAACCCGTGAAATGTGCAGCATAAGGCTTACACGACAGTGAGCCCATTACTTCTCCACGGGGTCCCTAGTCCAGGGGGACCCGGGCCATCAGCAGAAAGAGCGCAGCCCCGACCCGGCTGATGGCCTGCCCCGCCCACGCGGGGCTGCAGCCCGTCGAATGACTCCGTGCAACGTGTTGGTGGCGGCGGCGCGGGCTCTTCCGGGCTCCGCAGCTTCCTGCCCAGCACCGCGCAGTCGCCTCCGCCGCGGGAGCCCGGGCACAGGCCTTGCGTTGGTGCGGACCCGGGGTAGCTGCGCGCCCCGAGCCACCCGTCCACACTATGCGCGCCGCTCCGCCGCCCGCTCGGCTGCTGCTGCCGCTGCTGTTGCTTGCGCTCCTGGCCGCGCCCGCCGCCCGCGCCCGCAGAGCCGAGTCCGCCCCCGCGCCGCAGCCAGACCCCGAGCGCCAGGAGCGGCCGCCGCCCGGACCCGGGCCCGGGAACTCCACCCGGCCTGGGGTTGGGGCAGCGGGTGGAGGCAGCTCCAACAGCAGCGGCGATGCCTTGGTGACCCGCATCTCCACCCTTCTCCGCGACCTGCCCACCCTGAAGGCTGCTGTGATCGTGGCGTGCGCCTTCAGCGCCCTCCTCATCGCCTGCCTGCTGCTGCGCGTCTTCAGGTGGGTCCAGCCGCTCTCTTCATTTTCCATGGGCCGAGCGGGTGGCATCACCCAATCTGCTGCCACCGCGCCTGCCCGAGCCGCGCGCACAGGTGCTCGATTCCGCCTCATCTCATCATCTTGGTGTGCTCCCGCCAGCCAGGGACCTCTCTTCCCTTCCTGGGCATGGTGGGTTCGGTTTGTTGGGTGTGCACATCTGTTTTTTCGTGGTGAACATTTTAGAAATTTTCTCTCCTTTCTTTTAGAATAGTGGATTCCATTTGTTAATTCTGCTAATGCTTAGTACTAACAACAGTGCTCTGAATTCTGACAGCAGTCCAAAGAGTTTATTTTTATACCTGTTTCATAAATGAGGAAAACATTTTCAGAGGAAAGGAGGCTTACCCGAGTAACTCAGTGGTGGAGGTAGAATTTGAACTTGTGTCCTTTTAACTTCAATCTTGCTGTCCCTTCTGTGAATTTCATCTGTAGATTCTTCATGCCCAATGCACTTTCTTCTTTTTCTGCTGCAGAAAGAAACAGTTTGTTGCACGGGGCATCTTCAGAATGCCTGTTGGAGGCCTGCTTTACACGTAGAGTTGGTGCTGGATTTCAGGATGCTTGGTGCCCCTTGGTGGTCTTATTGTCTGTCCATTACTGGAGGATTCAGAAGCTCTCTACCCCCCTAAGCTTTTCCAGTCAACATTCTCAGGGGGATGATGGATCTTGAGAGGCTTTTGTAGGTTGCTCAAGGTCAAGAAGGAAGTATCTGGGAGATTAGGAAATGCTTGGGATAGTGAGGTGGATATTTCCCCCTAATCCCTAAGAAATCTTGTTTTTGTAGGAAATGAACTAAACATGTCCTGTTGCTTAGGTTGCTCCCCACACCCGGAAATCTGTGTGTGTCACTTATTCCCTGCCCATTGCCTCAAACACTGGGCTTTGGTATTTGATAGCCATTGAGGGTATGGGGCCAGGGGTCTGCTCTTCTAATTAGCATTTTCATTGTAGAAGCAGAAAGAAAACCTGGGAAAGGCAGAGCTGGGAGCAGTCTGTTGAGGTGTGCTCTTGGTTTTGTGGGACATTGAATCCAGGATTTTTCTTCTGAGTCTGATTAAAAGTCAGTGGTCTGAGAAAATGGAGAGTGGGGAACAGGGATCCACATTGATCCGCTGCCTTGGGTCAGGCCATGTTGTCCTTGCTATGCTGGTCTCCTTGCTGTTTTCTGGATTCACTCCACCCTTCTCATTGCCCTCCCACCACTGCTTGCAAACTGCAGTGGCTCATTTTGGCCACCATCTAGGCATGGAACTACCTAAGCATGGCATTTGGAGTGCGTACGTATTGGCCCCAGCTTACCCTTTAGCCAGCCCTTCTGAGCCTGTCTCTCATCCCTTGCTCCTTTCCTGTTGCTCCATGGTGCTGGCTTGTGCTTTCCTATTTCTGGCCTGAAGCCTACTCTGCACCTATCAAGACTACATGTGGTCACTGATACCAACCTTCCGTTCTCCTTCCTCTGAATAGTTTTCCTGAACAATCAAAAGAGGCTGTTGCTTCCCCCCCCTCCCCCCCGTTGGTACTGGGGATTGAACCCAGGGGTGCTTAACCACTGAGCTACATCCTCAGCCCTTTTTATTTTATTTTTTTTTTTATTTTGAGACAGTGTCTTGCTAAGTTGCTGAGGCTGGCTTTGAACTTGTGAACCTCCTGCCTCGGCCCCCCAAGTTGGTGAAATTAAAGGCATGTACCACCAAGCCAGGCTTATCTTTTACTATTCTGTCCTCCCCAACCCTATTCTTGGGCATTCTTCAATACAGCCTTTATCCTGCCATGCTGGGGGCCCAGCTCCCAAACTCAGCAGAAAGCACTGGAGGGTGGGGATGCCCAGTTCATGTTAGTGTCTCCATGTCTGATTTGGACATGCCACAGAGGCACATTGTCATTTACTGACTTCCTAATTGATCAATTGGCGTAAGCTAATGCCCAGAGCAGCTTTGAGTCTGGAGGTTTGAAACATTTAGTTTAAAATAGGCTGAGCCCACAAGACTGTGTATTTTTTAGAAGGTATTTGAACTATTTTTCCCGTCTGCTCTTTATTATCCAGGAGTGGGGGAGAAAAGGAGGCAGCATGAGGCCAGATGTGAGGGGATGGAGCCTCCTGTTTGAGCAGCTTAGAAACCGTTAAAATTAGAAGTGTGGAAGAGCTGTGATCACAAGAGAAGCTGACTATGGTCATGATCTGCCTATGCCTGGTAAAGCATTATTGTTTGGGTGGATAGCTGCCACCCACCCTGGATTCCAATTTAGACCAGAGCTTGTTATATTTTAATAGCTGGGAAGAACTTTGATGGTACCCAAGTACCCAAGTGCTCCTTTGCAGATGAGGAAGTTGCAGTCCAAAGGGTAGAACAAGTCATCACCAGCATCTAGAACCATCTACAAGTCTGTCTGGCCAAGCAGGGTCAACACTTGGTGGTGTGTTCTGTGGCTGCTCCCCCTTCCCCGTTCCTCTGTAGGCTTGGTTCATCATGCTTGCCAGATGCCTGCTCTGCTGGCCCGTGTCCTTACCTGTTTGCTCTCCAGCTTCTTAGCATGCAGTCACTGAGTTCTGACCATCCCACCACCCATGTCTCCCTGAGACCATCTCACTTCTGCCCATATCACCTTCCCCAATGAAGCATTCCTACATGCTGTGCCTTCTGCCTGGGTTACATCCTTCCCTTTTGTCTCCTTAGTCACAGCGATTTCCCGTAGGCTGGGGTTCCTGACTCCATCCTCCACTCTCGCTAGCCCAACCTCCCTCTTCTGCTGGCATGTTGGTATCAGGTACGATGTGAGGGTCTACGAACTAAGAGCATGGTAAGTAGGAGGGCACACTAGTATCTACTAAAGGAATTCCCATGCATGCACCAGAAACCCCATTCCCAGGTATACACCAGCTACCCCCATTTCCCCCATATACAAAATCATAGATGCTGGGACAATGCTGGCTCTTTGTCTCCTTTTCAAGCCTCCATTTTGGCTCTGCCCAGTTCCCCTCTGCTTACTGCTTCTGCCCTGATGGGCTCCCAGGGGTTCTCCAAGGGGACCATGTGGCCTGAGTGTCTTTTCCCATTCAGAATCTTGCCTGGAATCCTCTCTACCACCAGTATGCTAGCACGCTGTTTTCCCTCCTGTGTTTCCTTGTCTGAGCCTCCCTCAGGGCCCTCTGAGCTCCTGATGCACACCTCATTTTTAAATTTTCTCCTGGGAGCCCAGAGGGTTGCTGAAGTGTCCCTCTGACTTACCAGGCTGAAGGCTCCTGAGAGCAGGGCTGGCCTTAATCTTCTGTCTCTCTAACACCTGGTGGGGTTCCAGCCACAGGCTGGCATTTAATAAAGATATTTTTAGCGAAAGAATGTTGAACTCCCAACTGTTTTCCATTGCTGATGTAGAATAGGATGTCTACCATGAATAGATGAATGGCTGATATGGGATACCTGTGAGATGGGAATTTGGTCGATGCCCATTCATTATCCTCACGGCATAGATGGAGGAGAAAGAGTGTAGCATTATTGCTTATAAAGTAGCAGTCCTAACCTATTTGTCTGTTTTCCCTGAAGGAGTCACTTTATCAGACTACAGAAAAAACATGGATCCAAGAAAACCATTAAAATTAGAAGCAAAGAATACATATTGTAGTGAAAAATATATAAATATTTAATCAGAAAATTCCATTGCTAAAGTGTACACTGCAACATATATTCTTTGCTTCTAATGTTAATGATTAGAAGAAGAAACCAAAATGCGTGTGCATCTTGGCATTTTCAGAGCAGTTCTGTTTGATAGTGAAAAAGTTTAAATAACCTTTGTATCCACCATTTAGCATTGATTTGGTAAATGATGATAATCTGGTTTTAACAGCTGTTAAAAATAATGACACTGATATAATATTGGCTGTATATTTTTGAGTAAAACAGGTTACAAAACAACCTGGGTAATATGAGCTCATTTCAATAAATAAATTATAAATATGTACATATACAGATATGCAAAGAAATCTGTTAGTATATGTGCATGTATGTAAATGTGGGTGATTCTTCCTTTATAATGTATTTATCATTCATGACACATTTCTGCATTGTCTGCAACATGTAGCCTGATTTCCTTCCCTGTGTGCACACTTAACTTGCCTGCATCCTTGGACATGTCCTGCTGAGGATCTGAGGTATATGAGAGTATCTAGTGTATGTACCTGGGAATGGGGTTTCTGGTGCATGCATGGGAATTCCTTTAGTAGATACTAGTGTACCCTCCTACTTAACATGCTCTTAGTTCTTAGACCCTCACATCGTATCTGATACTTATTACCTCACTTTCTGATGCTTTTCCATCAGATGAGTATAATTTGGTATCTCATTGCTCTGTCTTAGCTGGGCACCTCTGGTGCACCCTTGTGCTCCCAGGGGTCTGGGAGGCTGAGGCAGGAGCAAGTTTGAGGCCAGCCTAGGCAACTTAGCAAGACCCTGTCTCCAAATAAAATATAAAAAAAAGGGCTGGGGCTGTAGTTCAGTGGTAGAATGCCCCAGTTCTACAAAAAACAAAACAAAACAAAACAAAAAACCACACACACACACAAAAAAAACCACCAAAAAAACAAAAACAAAAACAAAAAACAAATCATTGCTCTGTTTTCTATTTATTTATTTCTATTCATGGTAGACATCCTATTCTACCATTAATCTTAATCTTATTTCTCTGTCTGCAGAATAATTTCCACCTTTTAAGACGGGGGGTCAAACTGGAAGGAGGGATAGGTGGTCTGGAGGTAGTTTACCCTCTGATGGGATCCCCTGTGTTTACTGCTTGGTACCTTAGGGAGAGCTGATGGGATGTCAACAAAGAGGCTGTGTATTGGAGCAGAAAATTGGGATTTCTCCTATTTTTTTTTTTTTTTAAATACTGGGAAACATTTGGTGGGGTTGCACAGATGCGGGGCTATCGCCTGTAGGCCAGTGACTGCTGTTATCAGGCCTTTCTCC